CGGAACGATGCCCACCCGTTCCTGTTGGCTCAGCTGGCGTTCCTCGGTTACAGCATTTTTCTTATGTATTTCGTCTCAATAGCTGAGGTGTTTTCCATCTCTAGCTGGCGTGTATAATGGTACAATGCTATTTAACAGGAGGCTGCTGCTGACCTCGAGTCTGCTGCCATCGATACACCTAGCTCTTCCATCAAACCTAGTTTCATGGTGGCGACTCTGTTGACTGGACTCACTTCTCTGCATAACACGATTTGGAGCATTGAAGAGGTGCCTTCAGACTGGCGACTGTCAACTTTCGTGCGAAAGTCCTCGAAGCGGTGGCCTTGTCTCTGTTGCATCCAAACTTCCCACAGGTATCATATTCTCCGAGGACTTACTAATCTCCGTGAAAGCCGAATCACTGGTCGTGGTTGCATCGGCCACATAGTTACTCTTCGCCAAGTGTTAGAGCAGAGATACACACAGACGACCGACTAAGGTGATTTTTCTTGATTTGAAAGTCGTCTTCGACTCTGTTAACCGCGCCAGCTTGTGGCACTGCCTATCCATAAAGGGCGTGCTGGCTAAATCTTTTTCCATTATGCAGTCTCTACTGTGACTCCCTATGGTCAACAAGAAATTGTCTCCTGAGTTCCCCACGACTGGTGGGGTTCTCCAGGGTCGTCCTATATCCCCTTCCCTCTCCAACTTTGTTATCGAAATGAACATAAATGACTCGATTAGTTCAGATTATTCCGGAGTTCTACCAAGTGGCCGACTGACAAACCTGGGGTATGCGGGCAACATAACATCCCCGGTTCTGACGCATTGACTATTGCATAGATTGACAGCTAACGCTGCACTCTGCTGCGTGTGCTTTGCACCTTCAAAGTGCAAAGCACTGCTGCAGGATTGTGCCGACACACCTCCGGTTTTAGTTACTTCCGAGCAGCCACTTGAAGTGGTTAAACGGTTCAGTTACCTTGGTAGACGTGTCACCTCTGGTGGTTACATCGCTGAGGATATTAGTTCACGTATCAGCAAGGCCCGTGTGGCTTTCCAGAGACGCAAACATCTGTAGTGACGGCGGGATATCAGCCTGTCAGTGAAAGGTAGGGTGCACAACGCTGCGGTAAAGTCGGTGTTACTGTATGGATCAAAGACCTGGGCAGTCCGCGGCGAAGACATTAAACGCTTGACCGTATTTGGCCACCGGTGCTTACGGTGTATTGCCCACGTCTGGTGAAAACACCGGGTGAGCAATGCTGAGGTCCACCAGTTGGTCTTTGGCAAGAAACCTTCGGGTGCCTATCTGGAGTGTTTGATAAAACTCAGTCGCTTGCGTTGGCTAGGCCATAGTTTCCGTATACCCGTTGACCGGCTTCCTTGGTGTGCGTAATACGCAGTGACTGCACCAAGCTGGGCGAGACCGCGATATGGACAGTCCATGACGTGGCATCGAGGCATGAACAATTTGGCTGGGACTAGGGCTGACTACTTTGTGCCGTCTTCATTGACTGGAGCCTCGGGTTGTTAAACACCAGTGGTTGGACACCGTGTCAGGCATGGTGTGCAGACACGCAGTCAGTGGCGTTCTTACATTGGGTTTCTTTTGTTTGGTTGTTAGTTTCTGTTTTATTCTGATCGGTTTAGTCCATTTCTTAGTTCCAATTTTTGCATTTTGTTTGCCTTTAACCCCACTGTCTTGCTGTTCTTATTAAGTGTGATTCTTGTGGTATGAGTCTTGGCAAATGGATCTGCCGCACTTCGATGCTCGAATCATGTTTCTTCTATAAAGTGACTAACGCACAAACGCTGTGGGGGGTACTGTCTGTAGCATAGTGCCGAAGTCGTGCTGCCCTGCGGTAAGATTTCTGAACTGGAATCTTTGGTCGCGTACCCTAATCACTCACTTGTTTTGGCCTGGGGAACAGAGCAGTATCTTGTCCACGCAGTACAAGGACTTTCTCTTCTGACGATTTATTGATACTCTGGCCGTTGCAGATGGTAATCAGCTGCACCCTATCTGCTGCATCAAGCAGCGTGGATAGGGCTAAGGATGCTACTTCTTAAGTCTTCCCGTTTTCTTCTCCCCCCCTCGTGCATTTCCCTCCATCGTCCTGCTCCAACATCACCTTTGTCCCCTCTCTTTTTCACCCCTCAATTCTTGGCCCTCCGTCATGTTACTTCATTGGTCGCTTATCTTCTACTTTTGACTTACATGCAATCACAGGACGTCGCTCTGATCCAGTCGGCAAGTCCGTTCTAAACCAAACGTACAACCTGAGTACAACGTTTCCTCTTTGGAGCCCCCGATTCTCGCTAAGACTGGTGTGTCTCAACGTGCGCATTTTATCGCAGTTTGGCCAATACGCAGCACTTGCTCGTATACTAGAGACCCTATCGATTGATCCCTGCTGTTTCTCGGAAGTTCGCCTGCAATATTTGAGTTCTTTTATTACCCTCCGATCCACGCACTCGTTTGATCCGCTCTTACAGTTCGCTTCGGTTGACGCGTGTGGCCATGCTGTGAGCGCATAGATACTTGTCAACTGGGGAAGCCACATCTTCTGTATGCCTGTCAAAGTACGCTGACATCCGAACCGTGTAAGCGTAATCTGAACACACTGGAGGGCCACTACTCACGTATACATCAGACGTTATTAGTATCGGGCATGTTTTATGTGGCAAATTGCCAACCCGGACATTGGGTTTGTATGCAGTCTCTGGAACTTTTGGATGCTTGCCGACACATTCCGGCTAGGTTGCGAACGCAGCGAGACTCTCGTAGACCTCCGGGCGAGACTGCGTGCTAGCCTTATGGAGACCGCGAAGCGTGGTGATCTCGTCGTGCATCGGGTGTATAAGTTGCCGTTGCCATTGATAACCATTCTAGCTTATTCTTTCTATTCCCCCAAACAGGCGGAAGGCGACCTAGTGTTAACGAGACGATACGTGATGAGTGTCGGCACCCGATCTACAATTTGTCAAAACCCCTGGAGCCTTGGGCCCAACACTTAGAAACCAGCCTAATCAGCCAGAGTTACCAGCTTATCCATCAGCCAATGGTCGTCATTCTCCCTGGGCAGTTTTCCTGGACTAGACTTCACGCGCGGAAGTCGAACGTGAGAGCGAACTGTTGAAAGTTATTACGTCCACTAGAGCAGATAGACTTTGACTAGCTCTCTTCAAATTAGGGGCTGCTCTTGTCCATGACCTGCAAAACTTACTTGTGAAGCTGTGAGAGCATGTAACTATCCCAACAAATTGGAGCCACTCCGCATAGTCCATATTTCCAAAGTGAACTCACGCTCCGAATGCGGCAGTCATAGAGGGATCAGTCTGATCACAATTGCCTCTGAGAAGCTAGCTCTCCTCTGTCGTTCTCCATAGACTTACTAACACTCATGAAAGTCAGATTCGCGAGAAGTAGGCTGGATTTCGCCGAAAATGAGGTTAAACTGATCACATCTTCACATTGTATCAATCGTTGGAACACCACTACATTTATCGGCGTGCCACCGTAAGCGCGTTCCTCCTTTCGGTTGATAGAGGGGCCCTTTGGGCCTGTCTAATCAGGAACAGTGTGCCCAAGAAATACGTAAACTTTATCAGGGCGCTGTACGCGCGTAGTTTGGACAGAGTGAAGACTTACAGCAAGCTGTCGCCGCCCTTCAAAATCTCCATCAGTATGGGACAAGGATGCCCGCTATCACATCTTTTTACCATTTCCGTCAAAGAACTCATGGAGATTACGTTCACTGGACACGATCTACAATGAGTGTTGTGAGTTTTCTTGTTCCTCCACTGCGCTTTAGCTTCCTACTTCAACCACCATCACAGTCTAGAAAGCGTTTGTTATCTGTTTTTTTATATTCTATAATGTTGCTTACCTCGCTTTTTCGTATATTTATGTTTTTTATTGCGTCACAATAATTGAACTGTTTCTAACCTTCATCTAATGTGTAATGATGATGCGGCTTCCACTGATTCATCATTCTACGCTTATTTCCTACATCAGATGGACCTTACTTCTTCAACATGAAATCGCGCGGAATCTGCTTTTGTACCCGTTATTTTGTTCGGCTTTATCGAATGTTTCTGTCGTGATCAAACTCTTTTTATTGATCAACACGGCGTTTTGCGGAAATTTTACTGACCCGATGTACTTCTCGAGCTCAGTTACCACAGTCTCTCCGTTTTGGGTGCATCCATTTTATTTATTTTCCCTTCCCTCGAAATTCTTTAATTCTGGTTTACTGATTTCCCACCTGACAAGACTATCAAACGACTAACCAAACAGCCGTGCTTCAGCACGAGCTATTTTTCATCAGCCATGGTATCGCTACTGTACAGGGTTCAAAGCTTGATCCACTGATTAATTTTGTGTATGATGTCTACTTGATGTACATGGTGTTAACCTTGCGTGCAAACATAAACTGTCAAGAATGAGGTTATAATCACCTTTTCCAAAAACGCGTATCCAGTCATTCCTTTGGACTCATAGCTTTTATTTGCTAATTCTTTCTAAGATCTTCCGTACAGCGCGTAACTTACTCCGGAGATTATTTATTCGCCCACGCAATTCGCTTGGGGACTCTGTTCTGCATCACACATTCCATCATCGATTGGTTAGGCGCAATGTACAACTAAAATCCTGCTACTCAAGAGTACAACGTACAGTTTATTGTCCGCTCTCAAACGTTTTGGCTTTATCACTGCTGCGTCTAAACCCAGCGTTTATCCGCATCGCATGCCATTTGACCACATTTGATTTTGCCCCCTACCTGTACCGTGCAAGGCCGTAGTGTTTGCCCACGAATTCATGGTTCTCACGTCGAGAATCAAGTCGTGAAAATCGTTCCTTTTGCAGTACATTTGGAAGATCTTTTCCAGTGTTTGCTCGAAGAACTTAAAGAGTTGTACTACCATTTGCGTTGTAATAAAGTAGGTGCACCATATGATTCGGTGCGGTTTTCGCTTTCATTATGTCAGTTAATTTTTCGCTTTTATTTCTACAGGAAGCCGTTGCAGTCGGGGTGGAAGCCGCCTTGCAACCTGGTGATACAATTATCACGGCTTATCGTTGTCATGGCTACACGATGACTCGCGGGGTCCCGATTTATGCAATTCTGGCCGAATTAGCTGGAAGGAAGACCGGAATTTGTCGGGCTCTTGGCGGTAGTATGCATCTTTACCACAAAGATTTTTATGGTGGCAATGGTATTATTGGTGCCCAAGTAAGTATAAAACAACACATTATCGGTGTCACTGATGTGTTTGTGATCGTCGTTTGTTTAAAATGTCTGCGATGCTGACTGAACCGCCGAGCATTAAAAGCCGTACTATAGCTTTACCTGCTTAGTTTTTCGCCGATCTTGGGCAATTTGGTTACAAACCGTTCGTCACCTATCTAGGTGACATTAGTGCAGGGTCGGATGTAGCTTGCTCACGAACACTCGTGCCAGGCAAATCCAAGAATGGATGCCGCCGGTTATTGCGCCGTTCCTTACATAGTTTGTCGGGGACGTTAGAAGCGCTTCATCCTGATTGGATGTTCATTGAAGTATTCAATAGGATGGGTTGATTCTGATTGATTGATTGGTTCATAATCAATCCACCTCATTGAATACCTCGATGAACAGTCAATCAGGATGAAGTGCTTCTAATATCGCCTACAATGTATGGAAGGACCGGCGGCATCCATTCTTGGATTTGCCTGGCACGAGCTTTTGTGACCAAGCTACATCCGAATCTGCACTGATAAGGTCACCTCGATAGGTGAAGAAACATTTGCAACCAAATTGCCCAAACTTGGCGAACAACTGAGCAACGAAATCGTCAACCGCAAGATATCTGTCTCGCCGGCGCCACCGTCTGTTTTTGGCTTTGCTGTTTGCGCATCACGTTTAAGCTGTGTTATCATCCTTTAGCTTCTTATATCATTCATTATTAGATTGGCTGTCTGTCATTTTTGTAGCATAGGATAGTGATAGGGGGTTGAATTGTATAGGTAGAAATTCGTCACATGTGCACTAACTCAGACAGCTAATACAGTTCCTGAAAAGCACCGTACAGCTGTTTCATCCTTTCGGTAATTGTTATCAGCACGCATTCCAGCATGCTCTCCGTGAGGCTAGAACCCACAGCTCAACTGTTACTTTCTGTGGTTATGACAATTGAGTTACGGGGAACGGCGATGACCAACGTGATTAAGTTACTAGTTGTTATATGTCGCTATTTTTTCTCGCTAAGTGGGTTACCTCTGCGCCACGGTAACGAGTAACTGATCCTAACCACAGGCTTGTAACGGTCGAGTTGCAAGTCCTAGACTTACAGGGGTCAGATAGTAGGCGCATTGCTGATGAGTTTAGGAAGCATGAAACAGCCGTCTAATTCTTATTTTCGTCCGGTGACGAAACACCAATATTAACTGCTTTCCGTGATGAGTTAACTGGAAGCGACTGGCTATTAACTTGCCATTTAGGCGTAAAAGAATTCAACACACTGTTGTTCGATCCGTGCTAGTTAGCCATGGCCATTTTTTGCTGAACACCTTAAGCGAAATTTGTTCTACCACCTGTATCTGCAACACACTAGTCATATCTGATGGGCGCGCCGGGCGTGTGGGAATCAAGGCCATCACTTGAAAGTCCCCTGCTGCCGCATTGGAATACCCGATAAACAAGAAATGCTTGCGTTTAATAAGGCATACTCTACACGTCCATTGACATCCTACTTCGACATGCATTACATGCGCTCGTTTGTATCTAATTGGGCGAAGCAGCGGGGCATGCAGCTGATGGCGTGACGTAAATGCATAAACAGATTAATCGAGGAACCTGTTCACACTGTGACTTGCTGCTCTCCTGGATCGAGGCTCTGAGATGGTCAGTATCAGTGACCATGCACACAATTTAATGCATATGGCCGTCAGTATTCCATCACGATAAATTTTGTTCACTTTCCAAGTCTCATTTTCTTGGTATCCTGTGTACTTGCTGTATCATTTTCCTTACCGTTGCAAGTTTTTGCTATCCTTGCCATTCGAGTTGTGGCATTTGGATCCACGGCACTTCACTGTTCGAACCATAGTTTTACACTGCCCATCGTAATTTTATTGGTCAAGCGATCCATATGGTTGGGGGCATCCGATTCCGAATTTGCCTGTCTCTGTGGACTCCATGGGGATAGCCACGAGACGCCTGCACCTACAGGGAAACCGTGTGTGGCTTGCGTTGCACCACCCATAGCTCCACCCATACACCTCATATCCAGTATAAACCCGAAGGAATAAAACCAGGAGGCATGTGGATGGGAGCCACGTTTCATCAACGGAGTCGGTCCATACTCCAACATGCGCAACAGCAGCATTCCTGTATATTCATATGAGGAATCATGCGTACCAAACGTACACAAGGCGGTGGCTGAGCCGTTTCCCGTTCCATACTGGAAGCATGGAACCACTCTTCGAGCCTAACACTGTCACTTGGACTGTGCACCCTGTCCTTCCACAGCAACGACCAACTGTCTCCTGGAGCCAGTATAGACGATGTGGTGGGTACTAGACAGGTAGACACCTTGTCAACATTTACAACAAGCACAGTCACATCGGGGATATTAATCAGCAATCAATCCCTGAAGTACAAACAACTCAACACGTATGCACACGTACCGGCCAACTACAACGGCGTTGTGGTGCACCTTCCACTTCAAAGGCCTTAGTGGCCTAGGTTAGTAAATTAGGTTGGACCGGACGTTGCACTGATGTCGGTTAGATAATCAGTCGACTAGTCGTCTCTAGTATGCTGGCCCCGCGTGTCCACGTTGGTGGCTTGCCAAGCACCCTTAGCTCAAACACTCGCGACCGCATGTGCTACAGTACTATGCGCTTGACATCGATGGGGCAGACTCCATCGGCGCCTGTCGTTTCCGTAGCCGGCATTTCATCACCGCGTGCTGGCGGCCTGGTTCTGATACTGATTTCTGCTGCACCTGGACAACCGCCGTCTTGATCAGTGCACGCCATTGGCGCCGATCAACTACCTTTGATTGTCAACATCTGAAAACAACATCAGTTCGTGATAAATTCACCTTGATCATATCCATTATGTCGCTTCCCTGCACCCAGATGGCCATAAAGCAGCTGTTTCGGTATCCGAGTTAAATACATTCAGGACACATACTCGATCTACCACAGGTACTTCATCACGAGTGTACAGTTCACTGCATACATGCCACTGCGGCGGAGCACTCCTGTGTCTGCGACTATCGTACCAACCAGTGTGCTGAATCTGTCGTAGATACTGTTGGCGGAAATGCTTCAGATATCTGATCTCATTCCGGTCCATCATCCAGGTTTCGCTGTCATATAGTAGAACGGACAGCACCATCGCCTGGCATGTTATCGGATTTGTTTCGATGATAAGCTGGTGGTTGTTCGACACTCGTTTCTTCAGTTTGACGAACGCATCAGTCGCATTCGAGAAGCGGACGCGCAGCTCGCTTGTCATTTACAGGTCAGCAGACGTTACTTTCCCAAGATAGGAAAACGTCGAAACTGTCTCCAACACGTCATCAGCAGCCTGGATTTGCTGCAGGCCTACGGGTTCTCTATTCCTAGTGAAGGCTAGAAAAGGCAAACAATCTTGTTTGTGTTGATGGTGATCCCGAACTTGGACTCTGTCGTGGTGAGAACCGAAGCGATGTGCTGCACATCATTCGCACTTTGTGAAACCAACGCGCAGTCGTCGGAAAGCAGCAACGTACAGATGGTTGCCTCACACACTAAGGTTCTCTTCCCGAAACAACAGATGTACAGCGACCTACCATCAATACGGTGCTCCACACGGACGCTGTAATCACAAGCAGCATCCAAATCACGGGCATCATTGCATGGAGGTAAATATCAAACAAGTCAGGGGCTTAGACAAAGTCTTGCTTCAGCAGCAAAAATCATCCGATGTCTGTCCACTCAGCTACACACTGGTCCTCATACCACTGTGCAGACATTCAGTTTGACTTACAAGCTTACTCGGATAACCAAAATTACCAAATATACCAACCACAATGCCTCGCGGTTCACCTTGTCAAATCCTTTGGTGAAATCAACAGACAGCGAGTACAATGACTGGTGTCGTTCTCTGCACTTCTGCAACTAATAAGTCGCAAACGCCATTTCTATAGTGCTGCGACCCGAACAGTATCCACATCGCTCTTCGGCCATGTTCGGTTCCACAACCTGACTGACGAGGCGGTTGAGCAGGATTCGGGCAACACAACTCAGCAAGTTGATGCCACGATAATTCCTGCAACATTGTTTACTCCCTTTGCCCTTGTACAATGCTAGCACAAGAGCATCCTTCAGCTCAGGAGGCACCTCCTCCTCAATTTACCAGCGTTGCACCAAATGGTGCGGCACATTCATCAAGGCCTCTCCGCCGTATTTCAATACTTCGAATGGGATCCCTTCGGCACCGGCACATTTGCCGTTTCGCAGCTGAGCAAGTGCTCTCTGCGTCTCATCTAGTGTCGGTGTGTCCTCAGACATCTTCGTTTCGCATTGTCGCAGTCGGTTCAAAACAGTCCAGTCGATCTCTGAACTTTTGTTCAAGAGGCAATCAAAGTGTTTTCGCCAGACCTGCATTGTTTGCAATTTATATATATACATATATATATATATATATATATATATATATATATTGTTGGCTGCGTTCGGTTCCGGCGTTACCTTTCTATGTGGCTTTCACAGGATAGCCACAAGATGCCTACGCCAACAAAACGACCATGGGTGGCTTGCGCTGCACTACCCACAGCTCCATCCACACACCCCAAATGCAGTGTAAACCCGAAGGAATAAAACTGGGAGGCATGTGAATGGGAGCCACGTTTCATCGACGGAGCTGGACTACGCTCCTTCCATATGCACAGCAGGAATCGTGCGTACCAAACATACGCAAGGCGGTGGCTAGGGCCTAATTTGCAGCACACTGGGTGCATATATATGGCGGGAGAGCCCGTGGTGCGCTGAAGCTTGTGGTTGCGAGATTCTGACATGTCTCCGACCCACTTCTGCTGATGTTGTGCTGTGCGCTCATGTCCTGAACGCCTCGTGGCGACCGCTGTGTGACAGTTAGGTTACACCCCTCTTCTAACTACGAGCTGGGGCATATTTCCGCGTGATTCGCTTCACTGACTCATGGCGCTCGTCCCGTTGGCTTTCTGATGTTTTCTTTATCGAAGGCTTCGGTTGTGGACCCGAGTCGTTCTGTCAAGTGTGGACGCCCTGGCAGTATCCTAGTCCAACCCCCCCCCCCCCAATCATGAATTACGTCAATAATAATAAATCCATGCTCCATCGGTCTCGCGCATTGGCCTTAGGAAAAGGGTCGTCTTATCTGCAGTATACAGCAAAGTGTATAAGCGAAAACATGCTACCACTAGCGCCTCCCTTCTTTCTTCTTCCCTTTCACATACCTTCCCCTTCCCCGTTTCACCCAACCCACTACTACCTCTAATCCAGGACATCACCTCCCATACTTATGCCCGCCAACGCAGTCAGATGCCTCCGTATGATTCTGTTGTCGCATGTAGTCCGCTTTACATTTGGTGAAAAGAAAAATCATTATCTCGCCTCGTTGATAGTGCACGCGATTTTTTCATCTCCGACTTTTCCTAAATCTGCTTGCTACCTTACCTCTGATCCGTGTCCAGTTTGGTCCCTTTGAATATATTCATTTTCATTCTGTGCGTCTAAGAGGTTTGCGTTGCATGTGCTCCACATGGATTGACTGAAATTGTTCGCGAATGTATCCAGTCAGTTGGCTGTCACACATCCCGAAGACTCTTTAATTGGTTTCTGTCTCCAGCCGCTTTTATCCCCCTTCAAGACCCTTTTCCGCATACTGAACACTAGAAATAGAGAGCGAGAAGGTAAAAATCTGTGATGTTCCGTCGTAGGTGGATCGGACATATGCGCGGAATCACGTCGCTGATTCCTGCGCGGTGGAACTATATTGCAGCTGCACTACATTTTATCCGCATGCCATATGTTCCCTGTACTTGTTGTCCGCAAAGTGGGCGTCAAGCAATCTCTTAAATTCCGACACCGATTTCGCTTCCAGTAACGTCTCCGGCAATTCGTTCCAATATTTCGTCGACGCTCGAAATATGGAGGGTGAGCGATGTGCTTTAAGTCCGGTAGCACTAGTTTGTACCGGTGTCCGCGTGTGCTGCTTGGTGCGCAAACGTGCAACAGCGGCTTCAACATAGGGAAGTGGCGCAGGTGCAGTATCCGGTGCGTCATAACGAGATCAACTCGAAGCCGACGATATAGTAGGGTATAAAGCCGTAGTCCCCTTCATCAGTCCTCGTACGACCTACCCCGTAAACTTGGGATGAGCCGGTTAGCTACATGCTGGACCCGTTCCAGTGTCTGCACCTCACTTATTGTGATCGGTCAACAAGCGGGTGAGCCGTACTCAAGCACCGATCTTATTATAGAGTAGAACAGGCGGGTGGCAATCTCTTCAGACCAAGTGCAAAAACTGCGTCTAAGTGCCCAAAGCAGGCGTAGTCTGCGTACAGTCTTTTCGTTTTGTCGATAGACTTCAGATCACAGAGTGAGAGTACGCCTAGATCCTTTACTGACCTGGTGAGATGCAGCGGGTAGCCGGCCAGGGTATACGCACGCCCATTACTACCCCTACCGAAGCTCATAAACTAGGACTTTTCCGTGTTAACCGGTAGGTCAACTTCTGCAGACCAGCGGGATAGACGGTCGAGGTCCTGTTGAAGGACGTCACAGTCGCCGGGGGAATCAATAATCCTCCAAATCTTCAGTTCATTCGCAAATAGTGCGCAGGGCGACTGAAGAAGATAAGCTACTTCGTCGATATGGATAAGGAATAAAATGGGCCCCAGTACTGTGCCTCAGGGTACACCACTAGTGGGCGGGTACCATTCCGTTAGTTGGCCATCCACCTGAACCCGCCATCTTCTTCCAATAAGGAAATCACTGATCCAGTGGTACAGTGCGTCACAAACACCACACATCTTCAGCTTGTGGAACAGGACCTCATGCTTCACTTTATCGAAAGCTTTACTGATGTACTAATGTAGTTGACATCCACTGACTTCCCCCGATTCAACACTTGCAACCGTTCCTGCCGCGTCAACAGCAGGTTGGTGATTCACGAGCGGCCCTTCATGAAGCCGTGCTATACCGGCGTTAGGAGGTCTTTCGACTTCGGCAGCTGGAGAGGACTCTTTTTCACAATCTTCTCGATCACCTTCGCCAAAACAGAGGTGAGACAAGTCGGCCGGTCATAGTCCACATTGCGTGGATCACTCCTTTGGGAATCTGCTTCACTACCGAGCGTTTCCAGTCGTTTGGCAATACACCCTCGGACAGCGATCTGTTGAGCAGATCCGTCACGGTAGACGAGATAATAGCCGATAAGGAAGTGTGAACTCCATCGGGTCCGGCAAATTTTATGCCATCAAGATTGGCGAGTAGACTGCGGACATCTTCTACACCCCTATCAAGGCTCTCAAGTTCGGTAGGGGCTGCACACGTCGAGCTCGGCATAGGCGCATGCCCACTTGTGAATACGGAACCGAAATGCTCTGCCAATGCAGACTCACATTTAGTGCTGGAGGTCAAAGGCTGTCCGTCAGTGCCCTCTAACATCTACGTCACTTGCGGGCCTCAGGCGCCGCTTCACGTAAGCATTAATCTTCTTGGGGGCCGTCTTCGCTGGGGTTGCAAGCTCTTCTTCCAACTGCCGACGCTTTTGTGCTGTTGCATAGTTTCCGCTGCCTTTTGTATGCCTCATCATCGTCGGCGGAGCCAGACACGAGGAATGTATTTCACAATACGCGTCGCCGTCCAGCCAATTGACTATACTGTCTGTTGAATCAATGTGCCTTCACTGGCCCAGCTTTCTGGTACTTGAGGGTTACGAGGCGAGCGCACAACAATTGCACACCCTCTTTTTCAACAGACTAACATTCTTCAACAGATGAATCCTGCGGCAGCGATCAGTCTACTTCATTGGCGGCTCGATGTAAACCATTGAAGTCGGTCTTCCAATAATTATAGGACAGCTCCGGCGGACGCGAGTAGGGCAGCGGCAGCTCTAGGCTGGCTAACACCATCAAGTGGTCACTAGCTGCCAGAGGCTTCAGGACCTGAATTTCATGTACACATTGCTCGCAGCTCGTTAGTAGTAGGTTTAGGCACGATGAAGCGGAATGCGGTGTAACGCGCCTCGGTTGGCAGACATGTTGTGCTGCCCCAGTTTCAAATACCATCTCCGCAGACTGCACATTGATTTCACAGTGCCAGGGGATAAGTTGAACCTCAGACCACCGTATTCCTGGAAGTTACAATCACTGATAAGCAGGAAGCAGGGCCGGCTCGTGTAGTTTCTGGCATTCGGCAGCCAATCCAGGCATCGAATTCGCGAGCTGCGATGTGCCGCATCCACAAACAGTTCACCCTGTCTCAGGCGGATCGAGCACCACAACTGTTCGCACAAGCCATCTTCACTACGGTAGGTGTGTATCAGTCTGCTGCACAGCATGCACCGAGTGTATAACAGCACGCCGCCTCAATCGTTTGATAGCCTGTCGCATCAGAAGCACGAGTAACCACTTATCTGGATTTCCTAGGTTGTGACCTCAGGATTTAACCAGGTTTCCGCCAGTCCTAGTACGTCCGGACGACATGAGGCAACAAAGTGAAATACATCGTCACGTTTGTTTATTTACCTACAAACATTTGTAAAGGCTACGCGCAGGCAGCGGTGGGACCTGGCAGACGTTCATGAACCGTCATCGATCTGTTGATCTGGGTTCGGCGGACCCGGGCAATTACCCGAAAATTCACAACGTGTATAATGATGATGATAACGATGTGGTGCTTGCTTTCTCCATTATCCGTCCGCCGTTTCAACTCCACAACAGCGGACTTCAGTTTCTCTCTGTCCGACGGATCCACATCGAAACGAATTTAGATCTTTAGACCTCTTAGCCTACCGAGGCGGGATAGTATCAGCTTCGGAGTCGTTGCATCAACAGACGTACCTCGCAGAGGCCGGGACTTCCCCTCCTCTCTCTTTCCAAGACGGGTGATTTGCTTCACCCGTAACCCCTGTTCATTCAGGTCGAGAAGCCTATCAATCCTACTGCAAGAAATCCACGTCGTGCTCATAACGAGCCTGAGCACTTGCATCTGTCGACTCAGGCGCGTGAAATATCATAAGGTTACAACGCCGCTGATTGCTGGCAGTTATCTTCTCCTTTTTGCTTCGCTGCATTCTCCATTGGCCTTCGACGCCTGCGCTATCGCACACCGGTATGTTAGTGTCCGTAAGACGCAACACAAGCACACCAGCTGAGTCTCCAACAACGGGTGGACATCGCGCTGGAGAGCCGGTGAGCAGGTGGGCTCGTTCGAACGTAGAGGTGGCTGGGTTTCCGCTTGTTTGGATGAACCTACGGAGCTCCTCACTGTGGAACATTTCGCCCTTCTTGTAGGCTCGCGCGACTGCTGTGCTGTTTGTGACCACACAGTGGCTTGGCATTTCTTGCACACTATTTGGACAAAGTCATGCTAGATTTCACGCAGTAGTTTAAAATGATCTAAGGACAAATCAATACACGAAATGTGGAAATTCACACCACACATGAGGCATATAACAGCGTTGACTCTATGCCCAACTATTTTGCAACAAGTGCCACAGGGAGTCAGCTTCGTCATTACTGGTAGCTTAGCAGATGTGACCGTAAAGGCGATAAAGTGAACGATAAGTATACGATACAAATACTGGAGTAAAATGTGCAGACACGAAACTAATGCACAATAAACAAATTCGGAATCGCAAAAGAAACTAAATTGGACAAATAATAAACACGAAAAACCTGCTTTGCACAAAGTAATGAACAATGCGAACTGTCCTGTCAAATAGAGCGAGAAAAGCCGCCTGGAGTTCGCTATTCGCTGTCCGATTGTTTCTTATTGTACATGCAACTTGCCCATCTGCAACCGACGTATTGGAAATATATATGTGAGTCTATGTGCGCTCTGCATTCTTTCTGGCATTTCATTCCTCTCGCTACATTTAGGTCCCGGTGGGTGTTGGAATCGGCCTGCGGATGAAACATCGTGGGGAGAATACCGTTTCTGTGACTCTCTACGGTGATGGGGCGGCTAACCAGGGTCAAGTTTTCGAGGCATTCAATATGGCGAAGCTGTGGAACTTACCTGTCGTGTTTATTTGCGAGAACAACAAGTATGGTATGGGCACCGCGTCTCACCGTGCTGCGGCCAACCCCGCATATTACACTCGATGCGATTATATCCCTGGCATATGGGTATGTTAATAGTTTCATGTATTTTCTCTTTATTTTGTACTGCAGCACAATAGCTGGGATGTTTTCCACCTGCAGCTCGCGTGTAGAATGATTACAATGATGGGTACATTCAGAATTGACACCACACTACGCATGCGTTCCCATAACCGCTTTCTGTTTTGAAATCCGAAATCACTGTTACCTTTCTTCTTGTTATCTGTTTTCTAGGAATGATCCGACTAATTCACTTCATCTAGTATGGCCTCAGTCGACTTATGTTGGTCACCAAACGGTAACCAGTCGGTTATACCTACAAATGCCGGCAATCTCTGTTGCACATTCGATCGTTCTGAGACGGCATATGCACTTGTGTCTTTTCTCTTAGTTCACGGGACACATCCCACAATCACTCCTCTTTCAGTTCTTGTCTTGGCTGTCCTCGTGTGTTTGTGTGTGCGCTAGTCTCTACTCAACCCTTGGTCTTACGGATTGCATTCCAGCAGTGATTACTGAATCGCCTTGCTTGATGTACCGATACCTAACGGGTCGTTATTTTGAAATTTTCTTCGAATTCTGCTATCGTTTCATGTCGCTTGATTCAACCCCCTCTCAGCCACCGGTTGTTCTCTCCTGCGTTGGCGGGGTGGCGCTTCATGAGATACTTATTCACATGACCTGTCGATCCACTTTTCCCATCCGCGTACTGACACTCGTTTTCTATACTCTTGCCGTTTTCACGACTGATTAACCCCTGTGTTACTCAAACTCTCAACGGCTTCCACTCGCTATTAACATCCCCCGCAATTCGTTTCCTCAATACCTAACGGAGCGTCATCCTTTCATGCTACTATGTTCTCACCCGCAAAATTGTCTCCGGCCCGTAATCATTCTTGTCAGCTCACCTTCGTGACTAACTCATTTCACTCGCATCACTCATCATCTTCGTCAAGACGATTACTGGCACAGTTGTAGTCAGCGTTACGACTTCACGAGCCATGGGGTATTTCGAAGTCTCTCTGGAGCAAAGAAAACACGACTGAGATGTCTTCTGTGTTTTCACTTCTTCGGTTTATCTGGCTTGGATTACCTGAAATTTCCAGGTAGCGTACACTTATGCATCGTTGAGACTAACTTCAGTGTACTCGCTACTGCATCTGAGTGCAATTAGTCAACTCCAGTTGCCATTCATCGCATCGCCGTAAATGAATGAGTATGATTTGCCCAAGATCCGACCAATCTCTTGACACACTGGCCGTATCTCCAATACATTCTCTACCCACACTACTCTCTGAAGCACCGATAAGTTTGATCGAAGCGCTTAGACGGGTTCCGATGGACACTGATTTTCAGCGCATCCGTAACTCCCTGAAACGACGTCTGACAACGCGTCTTCGAGTTGACATGGAACGTTGTTGGGTTACAAAGGCTCGTGAGATTTAGAAAGCCAGCACTATTGGGAACAGTCGGGTGCTATTCCAGCTCATCCGGAACACGGGTCCGAGAATGTCATCAGTTAGCGAGACAATAGTTGAGAAAGATGGACTGTTGATCCATTCTCAGCGCCCTCGACTAGCCGTTGGGGGAACATTTTTCGGAGTAGTTTAGCAGGCCTGCTGTGACACTGCCGCTTACCGAATCACCTGAGCCGACGTTTGAACTTGATGTCACAACTCCGGCTTTGGAAAAGATTCGATATTAGCTTTCCCTGTTTAAACGAAACGGTGCTCCTGGACCCGATGACCTTCCACATCTTTGCTGAAGATGGTGGTGACTCTTTGTTGACTGGACTTGCTTCTCTTTTTGACATGATTTGGGACACTGAAGAAGTGCCTTCAGGCTGGCGACTGTCAACTGCCGTACCCATCTTCAAGAGTAATCATCATACTTTGTGCGAAAATCATAGACGCATTATTTCCATTGCCTCAAAAGTTCTCACTGGTATCTTTCTTCGAAGACTTACTGATCTCCGTGAAGACCAAATCACTGAAAACCAGGCTGGCTTCCGCTTTGCTCGTGGTTGCATTGACCACATATTTAATCTTCGTCAAGTTTTAGAGCAGTGACACATTCAGTCGCTCGACTAGGGTGGTTTTCCTTGACCTGAAAACCGTCCCCGACTCTGTTGATCAAGACAGCCAGTCTAGTCAAATTCCTTTCCATTTTGAAGTATCTCTAACTTGATTCCGGACGCCGTATAAGGGCCTACGGGAAACTCTCCCTTGAGTTTTTCACGAAAAGTGGATTCGCCAGTGTTGTCCTATATCTCCTCCTCTTCAACTTTGTTACCTAAATGATCATGAATGACCGTTCTTTCCGACTATTTTGGACTGAAAGTTCTGCCAGGCAGCGGACTGACAAACCTTAGTATGCGGACGACATAGTTCTTCTTGGATCTGATGCATTGACTATGCAAACACTACTACCCAGACTGGTGCGTGGTGCTGCATGCTTCCGCATGTGTTTTGCACCATCAAAGTGCAAGGTGCTTTTGCAGGACTGGACGAACACACCTCTGTTTTTAACTATTTCCGAGCAGCCACTGGAAGTGGTGAATCGGTTCACTTACTCTGATAGATGTGTCACCTCTGGTTGTCACATCACTTCGCGTGTCAGCAAGGTCCATGTGGCAGTCCATAGGCTCAACCATCTTTGGAGACTGCGGGATATCAGCTTGTCAGTAAGGGTAGTGTGTATAACGCTGTTACTGTATAGGTCAGAGACATGGCCAGTTCGTAGTGAAGACATTAAACGCACTCCCATGTTTGACCACAGGTGCTTGCGAAGTATTGCTCACGTCTGGTGGGAACACCGGATGATCACTACTGCGTTTTGCCGGTTAGTTTTTGACAAGAAACCTAGTACTTCTCTCGAGTGTTTACTAAATCTTAGTCGCTTGCGTTGGCTGGGCCATGTTCTACGTATGCCGGTTGATCGGTTTCCTCGTCGTGTATTATACTCCGTAGCTGAACCTATTTGGGAGAGACCGCGAGTTGGCCAGTTCATGACGTGGCATCGAGGCATGAACAAAATTGTTGAGAGACTTGGTCTGGCTGGTTTGTGCCGTCTTCGTGGATGGGGGCCTCGGGAAGATCCATACCACTGGTTGAAGACCGTGGAGACATGACGCAGTCACGAAATCTGTGACGTTTCTGCATTCGTCTTCTTTCATCTGGTTGTTAATTTTCATTCAATTCTGATTAGTCTAACACATTTCCTTCTTGTTACCATTTTCCCTGAGTTATATTCGCACCCACTATCCTACCGTTGTTATTAAGTGTTGTTCTTACTGTGTGAGTCATTGCAACTGGATCTACCGCACTTCGGTGCTCAGATCATAGCTGATCAACTGAACTGAACTGAACGGTTCATCAGGACACCAACGGTCTAACACAAAGGTCGTTGGTTCAAATCTGCGTAGGTGCGGACGACTCTGTAGTATCCGTAGTCCGCGCGTGACTGGTGCTGATTTCGTGACAGCGAAGTCTGGGCACCAAAGTACCGCCGCGCTGCCCGCAACTTTCTACAGCACTCGTTGATCACATTTATACTTCACTCTTGACGAATGTCCCATGGTAATACTGTGCGCTTTGCCTTCCTCCTACAATTCCGCATTTTTGGTAGCTTAGCGAGCATCTGTCTTTTTAGGTAACCGTGCACATCACCATCACCGTCTTACATGTTAGGTGGAGGCAATGCTTCAGGTATTGCGCCGAAGATGTCATCCCGTTACACATCGTTGTAGCGACTATTGGATCAGTTTAATTCTGCCCTATCAGCTTTCACTCTGCAGTGCTCTTTGGGTCTTACAGGAGTGTAATGCCCCGCCATACACTCAGCAACACATTATCAGCAATCATTTACGCATGTTGCATCTCAGACACCGATTTTCCATCCCCAGGACCCAGGCGAAACCCTCGCGACGTGGACGCAATCACACTGCCCAGATGGTCTTTGTTCTTCTTTCCGACGCTGTTCATTCTGCTTCGCAAATTAAATGTTACGCTCATATGCAGGTTGGCGGATCTCTGTAGGGGATCACTGCCCTAGATAAACTCTGGTATGAGACCGTCTGAGCTTTACTTGTACGTTGATTTCATTGGCTTATCCCGGTCCTCTCCTTGCACATTTTCAGCGTTTGATTGTTTCCACCTTTTAACATCTTTTTTGCGCATATGGTTCGAATCGACATATCCCATACATATCTCACCTGGCGACGCGCATAACACTGGAATTTGTTCGCGTGTTTCCCATATGTAAGCCTCGTGCGCTCAAAATACATCGCGCACCCTTCTATATACTGTTTATTCTGCGTTTTATCTCCACTCTTCAGATGCGGCTTCTCAGGTGATTTGCACGTTGGTTTCGTCTGCATTATTAACCATTTACTAGGCTCTGGTTCTTACAATATGGTTTACGCGTACCTTTGGTGACAGCACTGTTACCTACCTTGAATCACAGGTTGATGGCATGGATGTCCTCACCGTTCGCGAGGCCGTTCGGTTTGCCCGTGACTGGTGTTTGTCTGGCAAGGGCCCAATCATCTTGGAGGCAGAGACATACCGTTACCACGGGCATAGTATGAGCGACCCTGGGACGAGCTATCGGTCACGTGAGGAGGTGCAGGCTATGCGTCGTCTCCGTGATCCCATCACTCTGTTCCAGAAGCGCATTACCGAATCACAACTGGTCACTGATGAGGAAATCAAGGTATATTTTGTCGATTATCTTTGTTCACTTGTTTCAGCAACTTTTTTACGCCCTGTTCACTTGTGAATGGCTTCAAACACTAAATGTCCGGTGTTTACACAGCTGTTTTACCACGTATGTACTGCAGATCGCAATGGTGATGTAGCGAGTCATCTCGCATCGCGAGGCTCTAACACATGCATAAAAATTGGAATTGTGGTTATACTCTTACTGTGCCTTGAATGGGTCGTCTTCTGCTTCTGCTTTCATTCGTGAACGCGTTACTGGTTATTGACGTTTAATCATTCTAAAGTATGATGAACTTATTACACATTATTTTCATTAATTGATTTTGCGTTTACTGATCAGCTGCATTATCTACCGAACTAAACTGTATTTTACATGATTGGTTCCCTAACCTCTTTCCAATTGCGCATGTACTTTGCCCTTCGTAGTTTATGCTACGTCATACGTACCTAACGAGGCTGTGTACTACCTAGTGGTTTGCTCTGGCACCCTGTTTGTCAAGCCACAATCCTTTCGTATTACTCTTGTTAGCGTCTCTTAGTGGAAGGTGCACACAATTCATGTGACAGTGCAGCTGACCAGGAAGAGCGCCCAACCCAAGGGCAACGGAATACGGAAAGATGAGCGTGCCTGTTCTTGCCAACCGTTATAAACTTTGTCCTTTGTAATTGCGTGAGCTCCCCCCCCCCGAGTAAGAAGCGGAGACCTCATTTACCAGTTCACGAATAATAGTACCATCAGCAGTGTGCCACAACATAAAGAGAGAGAAAAGATATATAACGGATGCTACGGAATTTGAGTCTCACAAGTTCGCCAATGCTCACGGTTCTTTGACATGTACGATAGGATTTCTAGACGTGTGTACTCACGATCCTTGCGTTCCCAACCAGGGAGTCGAGAACGCCCGACCGTGGCCATATATGAGATCAACGCCTTCATTATTTTAGCCCAAGGCCTTCGCTGGCCACATTGTCTTCGCCTCCAGCCGATTTCTATGCGCGCAAAGAGTACACGATAAGGCAAACGCTCAGTAGGCTTACGAAGCACGTGCTAAAGGCACCGAAGTCTGTGCAGTGAAAATATGCGGCTCGGCGGCCGGCAAGATCTGTCTGATCTGAAAATCCTTCGGCGAACATCCAATGAATCTTTCCGCAAACAATTTCTTGATGCTCTGGCCACCACAGAGGATAATCAACGGTGCCCTATCTGCTGCATCGAGCAGGGTGGATAGGGCTTTGGATGCTACTGCTCAAGCCTTCCCGTCTTCTTATTCCCCCTCTTATGCTTTTTCACTCTCACCGTCCCGTTCCAACTTCACTTTTATCCCCCTCAGTTTTCAACCCCCTGATTCTTGACCCTCCCCCAACATGCTTTGCTAGACATTTATCTTCTAACTTCAACTCACATGTGAACGCCGAGCGTCACTCCTTTCATGTCGACAAGTCCATGTCCAATCAAGTGGCCCATTCTAGTTCATCGGCTTCCATTTGGAGCCCTCGATCCTCGTTCAGATTGGCATGCCTCAATGTACGCACAATACTACAGATCGGTCAACAGGCAGCACTTGCCCGAACATTGGAGACCCTCTCGATCGGCATCTGCTGCTTATCAGAGACCCGCCTGCAAGACTCGAGCTCTGTGCTCACTCTGCGATCCCCTTCAGGTGACGCAAGTAGTGTTTTCTCATTACGCCTATCTGGTGACGATGCAGCTTCGAGCACCGGCCGAGGTGGTGTTGGCATTGTTCTGAGTCCCCGGGCTGAAGCTGCTCTGGTTGATTGGATTCCAATCAGTAGCCGGATGTGTGCGGTCCGATTGGCTTGCTCATTCAAAGCTTCGAAGTCGCGCGGGACTACTAGGTGTCTATTCATCATCGTTGTCTACGCGCCCACAAACTGTAGCGACGATTCGGTAAAGAACGACTTTTGCCGCCAACTGACCCAGCTGCTTCGCCACAGAAGAAGCACGGACGCTGTTGTGCTGGCTGGGGATCTGAACGCGCAAGTTGGAAAGTTGTCCACTGATGAACTGCATTTGGGCTGTCAGCACGGTGTAGGCTCCTGTAATGATAACGGTGAGCGGTTACTTCATTTGTGTGAAGATGCTCGCTTATTTCTTGAGAGCACTAACTTTCGACACAGCACCCGTCGGAGGGTGACTTGGCGCCCGCCAGCCTCGAACCATCCTTAGACGCGGATCGATCACATTGCTATTAGTTACCGATGGAGAGGCTGCGTCCAGAACTGTCGCTCGATTTGTAACACAAGTGTAGACACTGACCATGCACTTGTATGTGCTGACCTGCGGATGCGTTTTGGCGGACGCCCACGATGACGCTGTGAGCGCATTGACACCAGCCAACTGACAAAGCCAGCTGTTCTGAATGCGTATCGAAGTACGCTGACATGCGAGTTGAGTAAGCGCTCACTGGAGACAATTGATGGTCACTGGTCACATGTTCACTAGACCTTAATAGCAGCAGGATAATCCTCATGTGTAATGTCTAATCGCCAACATGGACGTTAGGTCTCTTCACAGTCTCTGAAACTTATCTATGATCGCCGGCATATTCCGGCTGGAAGCGAACACAATGAAACTCGCAAACAGCTCTGGGCAAGACTCCGTGCTAGCTTGAAGAGAGACCGCGAATGCTGGTGGTTTCATCGTGCGTCAGAGGTGGGGTGGGCGTCCTCGCGGTATACTCAGCCCGCGCGCGACTGGTGGTGGTCGCGCGGCAGCGAAGCGCCGTTACGGCGTATAAGCTGACACATTTTTTATTTTTTTCATTTCAGAGGTGCAAGTGGCCGCTTCCCTTGGTAACCATCATAAGTTACTCCGTCTGATACGGGAAACGGGTAGCAGGAGACCAGATGTTAGTGAAACTATACGTGACGAAAGTAAACAGCCTATCCACAATTTGTCAAAACGTATAGAGCGTTGTGCTGAGCAATTTGAAAAGCAATTCAATCGGCTAGAACTGTTCGATCCTTCGCCGGCGAGTGATCGCCCTGCTCCGTGGGCTGTCCCTGGATCCACCCTCTCGTTCAGAAGTCGAGCGTGTGACCGGACTGTTGAAGTTGAACAAAGCCGCGGGACCATATGATCTTCCTCCAGCCCTCTTCAAATTCGGAGGCTTTGCTCTTGTTGATGTTTTACATGAATTACTAGTGAAACTGTGGAAGCAGGAGACTGTCCCAACTGACTGGAGCCGCTCTGTTATTGTTCCCCTCTTCAAAGGAGGCTCGCGTTCGGATTGCGGCAACCATAGTGGAATCAGTCTGGTGTCCATGCCCTCCAAATTCTCACCTCCGTACTCCTTCACAGACTGACTGGCGCTCGTGAAAGCCAGATTCGTGAGGAGCAAGCCGGGTTTCGTCGGGGTCGTGGCTGCATCGACCACATCTTCACCTTGCGTCAGTTGTTGGAGCACCGTCACACATATTGGCGGCCCACCGTATTCGTGTTCCTTGACGTCAAAGGTGCTTTCGATTCGATTGATCGACGTGCCCTTTGGAATTATCTGCTCAGGAAAGGTGTGCCCGAGAGATATGTAAATATTATCCGAGCATTATACGCGCGTAGCACGGGCAGAGCGAGGGCTTACGGCAAGCTGTCGTCGCCGTTTACTATATCCAGGGGTGTGTGACAAGGATGCCCGTTGTCGCCTTTCCTCTTCAACTTCGCTATTGACGAAGTCATGGAGGTTGCATTTACAGGACATGACTTGGAAGGTGTGGAGCTACTCCCACGGGAACGACTTCTTGACTTGGAGTATGAAGACGACATTGCTCCCATCTGTGACAGCTCCCAGAAGTGCCAAGCCGCGCTGGACAGATTAACACTGGCTGTCAGCTGCTTCGGGCTTTGCTTTGCACCATCGAAATGCAAAATGTTCCTCCAAGGTTGGCAGCGATCGCCTCCTGCGCTGACTCTTGGTGGGGATCAGCTAGAAGTCGTTTGGAAATTCAACTACCTGGGAAATTGTATCAGCGCCCTTCAAATCGAAGATGAGATCACGAACCGTATGGCAAAAGCTCGAAGTGCTTTTGATCACGGTGCCATAAGTTACAGGTTGTGTGGTTCCATCGTTGACTGTCTCTCTTTCTGAAGTACTTGCGTCGATTCGGATGTTGCTTTGGTACTCTGTCGTTTTCCATAATCTTTATCGGAGGCGTACCAAGCGTCTCCCTCTATTATCAAATAAGTTGTCTCAGCTCTCGGTCTGGTTAGCCTAACAGCATGCCCTGCGTACTGAACCTTTTCTGTCTTGTCATAATAACACTGAGCTTCACTGGAATTGGATTTGGCTACCATGCACGGTACAGCAGCCTCCGTTTGCGGCACTATCGGTTGCTGGATATCCGAGAGGTCGGTGAACATGTTGGAATTCAGCAGAAAGCTTCCGGCTGGCTCTGAGTCCAATGTAACTAGGCGGTTAGTTAGGCGCGAACTAAAGCGGAGCCTGCGCGCTGACAAGAAAGCCTGATGGACTAGTAGGACTCAAGAAATGGAGGAGGCAGGAGTAGTAGGCAATTATCTGAAGTTCTTCCAAGTGATCCGCACTAATGGTGCCAGAAAAGCAGTCGTCATCGAGACAGTCAGAGACAGTGTGGGTGCCGTCATTCACAACAAGGAGCGCCGTATGGCTCGTTGGGCAGAGCACTTTCGCTAGCAGTTAAATTGTCCTCCTGTTTCTGGGCTTCTTCCTACTCAACTGTTGCCGATGGGGCCATAACCAGTTAAAGACTGCATCCGACGCTGAGGTCCGAAACGCAATCGCATCCCTTAATCGTTTTCTGGTTGCTGGCCCGGATTCCCTACCATTTGCACTATTTAGGGATAGAGATGAGGCTCTGCAAAGCACTGACCTGGGTTCGATACCTGTTATCTCCATCGGATGAGAGGAAATAGCATCGAAACGCCTCATAGGAGTGCAGTATTTCCGGGCGAGCAACACGAAATTTCTCTCCACTAACCTCCCGGTTCGAACTGGT